CATACCCCACCCATATCCCTATCTATGAAAGGGTTGTAGCAATTTCCTTATCGTCATCCAGAGGGTTTTACTTTCCTGAGCTATCTTGGGATTTCAGCGCATAATTTTATTCGCTACTCTTTTTGAGGAACGCACACAAGGGGATGTCTGGTACTTCAGGTAAATAACCTCCACTTCACACAAACTCTCCCGTAGCTCACGTCCTGTCAGCACCCTTTACCTGAGCTAGGGCCCCTATTGGTGTACTAAATACTGCCTCTTGATCATCATCATCTCAGGGGTAAGCCTGCATTGTTCGTCGAAGAATTTCGTGTAAACTTTTGGAATTTCGTGGATTGGCGTCTGTATAGGCCAGGTCTAAGGTAAATGCTGCTCTTTAAAATTTGTTATTGCGCACAAATTGACAGTTCACTATGTAGTCGAGATTTCTGGATAGTACTTGGTCTGCCAAGTCATTTGAATCCCCTGTTGTTATAGTTGGGCTTTTTCATATTAATTTCTCTTCCGTCAAGTATCCCTATATTTTGGATACAGCTGGTCACATACAATCAGCTAGACGCATAATCATAAGTGTAGGAGGTAATATGTTTAGGGTAATCTCCAGACTTGTCCACTAATCTCAGGCTCAACAATAGCTGTGAAATCTCGAAAAATAGCAGAAATGCCTTGGCGATCTTTAGAGTCCGTCCTTCAATTCCAAAAGACTGTACGATATATACAACAGCTTTGCGAGCCTCATCGTTGTAGTTTTGCATAGCCTAATTTGTCGACCTCTGTGCTTATTTGTATAGTGGTCAATCTGAACCATGAGATATCTAGAAGACCACAGTATAATATCTCGACCACTCAAGAAATTTCACATACCTGAAGCAGCACGAGATGCTGTACGTGTATCGAATCAAACGCACATGATTCCCATGGCAGTGCGGTTTCTACGATCGGCCAGTAACACTCTATAGTGTCTACTATATCAGACACAAATACGAACAAGTATCTGCCACCATACCATAAGGCAGCCGTTTTACGACGTGGACTACGGCATCAGCATACAACTGTTCGGTCTTCTTCTCGCCCAAGGATGTATATGGCTTGTTATTCAGACTGGCATATGGCAAGGGACTATCGCGATCCCCGAGCTTCCCCACTATGTTGATAAGTTCTTCTCTCATTACAGTTGCACCATCCATAGCCAAGGTCCCACCACACAGAGAGAGTGTTACTATGATCTCGATAGGATCCTTTATCGCCATCTTGTATAAGGTAGGTACTAGTTCACTAGGCAATATATGTCGGTATGGAAATGGGTGCGTTTTTGGTGCGTTGCGAATGGTATCCACTATCTCTAGGAATGTCGGTGCATTCACAATACACAGCACAATACCATGCCGAGTAAGGGGTTGTACGATATCAAGATTCAATTCTACGCCAGATTGAGGGTCCAACATGAGATGTGAAGGCCGTGTTTCGAATTTCTTCGGAAAGGTTGGTATTCCACTTTAATGGGCAAGGGTTTTTCTTGCATTGTTCATCCACATCAATACCAATAGCAGTACTCTTATGGAAGTCTTAAATGTTCTCTTCTAACCGTTTATTTGACTCCAAGCTAACTTGAAACTCAGTCCGTTCAGCTACATTCAATTCAGGGCAAACTGCAAGTTGACCAGAGCGCCGCATTGCATCGGTTCACTTTGCTCGTTCGACGTTACAAGTCAATTTTGCCTGTGGCGATATTAACATTCCAAACCATCGCGGGCGATTAATGCAATCTAACTTGGTTAGGTTGTATTTTGTGATGTAAGTTGAATGATTATCTCGTCGTACTTTATATGAATATATCAAGTGATGAATACATAATACAACGTACATCCGACACGAACTTGGAAGAAAGAACCGATGAATACTACAGGTTCTAGACATATGCAGCAAAAGGTACACGCATTAGTGAAGAATATATTCAAAACAAATCATGAATTCATTCTCGCAATGTGACAACTGACAACAGATTAGCGGACTTCGACGATTAATTAACTGAATCAATGTGCATTACGCTGTTCAAATACGAGGTGCAACTCGTATTTGTAATTTTAATAACTTGAAAATTTACGTACGTCGGATCTCGACTATACGATACAACAAACAATTAAGTCGCGACGTATGTGTAAATAATTTTCGTAAAGACGGTCCCGACATGTCACCAAAGTATTAAAAAAACATGTTGTTTACCAGCTCGTGGTTATGAAGACATATCATTCATCAGTTTAAATAGAATTTTTAAATTGCTGCAAATTATGACCGTAGTTTTTTTTTAATATTTTGTTTATTACGGTTGATTGGAAATCATGAATGAAATGAGATTGTTTCTTGTTGATACAGAGTTAAGTCGAGTAAACGAAACTATTCTTGAGTGTTAAACAAAACAAAAACACGGGTACTAAAATCTAAACTATCTAAATACGAGAGGAAATAATTGGGCAACAATTCAAAAACTTTGATTCGGTTTTGCTCCAATGAAATACGAGTTTTTGAATCTGTGTGCCAATTTCGAAGTCCGTAAAAGTATTTCACACTCTGTTCAAGACAGCATTGTATAAAAGTTTA